ATATTAACTAAAAAACACCTCTGAGATGGCTTTGGTGAAGGCAATTTTTATTTTTTTTTGCACAAAAAGATATAAGCCAACTGCAGAATTTACTGCAGCAAACATAAATGGTAATTTATACAGAAGTAGTGGTTTAATGAAAGGGTTTAGCAAATGATGGAGGCAATATGAGGCCCAAGCTGAAGAACAAAGCCTCCGAGGGCAGAGGAAGCAGAATGAATTGCATGCACACTGAATGCCGCCGTCGCACTTTTTAATACAAGCCACAGGCAGTGTCCCTGATGCGCCTGCTCCACTCCCATGTGAACAAGATCCAAGTGGAGAGGATGATGGATACCGCTCCATGAGGACATGGGGCTATGTGATGATACTTGACATGTTTCTGCATGAGTGCAAGCACATTTGCATCAGATAAAAAAATGACAGGTCTTCTTTTTTTCCCCTTCTTTTACACTTTACTGTTTCAATGAAAAAAACACAATAATCAACATGCAACACGTGCAACCGTAAATTACAAAATTCACTCAGGGTTTACACGGAGACCAGCTGATAACACGCTCAGCAGGACAATGAGTCACACTTCATGAGTCATAGTTTACCATTTGGTATAAACAAACATTCTAATATCACACTTTTTAATGATGCTGCGTTTAATAAGCTCAGAGTTTGAACTTTAAGAGTTTATTGATTCATATCCCCACCATGACAAATTCTCTCCCAGATCACGCAGTGAATAATATAGAGGCTGGTCAGTACGCAGCTCGTGTGTGAGTTTGTGATGCTTTTCAGGAGGTTTAATATAAATAAACAATCAATAAACATTCATTGAAAGGATATCAAATCGTTTTTTATCAACATCATCCCATGCTGAGAAAAGTTCAGATGTGTCGGCAAAATCTTAAAGAGAGAATGTGTAGCTTTTACCTTTAATCTCTGCAAATATCCATCAAAATGTTGTTGAAAATGAATTAGATGATGTCCGGTTGTTGAAAAATATTGGTGGCTTTGTAACATATAATTATAAAATTTGGGTCTAAAATACATAGGGTCTCTGGAGGATGCCGTATAAGACACCATGTTCCCTTATATGAGATGATTGGCTGGACATATGACTTACAGAAGTTACTTTACCATGATAAGAAACATGAATTTAATAACAAAACTACTAAACTCTTTCCAAAACTGATGTGAAAGAACAGAATAAAAAAAGTGATTCACTATATTTTGGCTGAGTGGTATTGCCGTAGTGTGATACCAACAGCAGGCGCAGGACCCTGAGCAGATACCGACCCTACCCCGCCAGAAAACTAGCATCGGAATTAACTGAAGGACTATCAAAGTCTGACAGAGTCACGCCGAGGTCGCATGCTTTCTGCTCGAAAGGTAACATTTACCTTAATGTTTCATTTTTAAACTAGCAACAGTCACGGCTGATATGGAGTAAAACTACCCTAACATGTATGTATGTACTTCCCCCTAGCGCCAGTAAATTACACAATGTCTCTTAAAAAATAATGCTATGCACAATCGGATGTAATTCAATAAGCATATGCCAGGATTAACCATCAGCTGTGGTGGCCATCTTGAAAGACCTACATATTGTTCTGGAAAACTTCAAATACATTTTTACCACAGCACTCAAAAATATAAATGCAACACCTTTGTTTCTGCTCCGATTTTTCATGAGATGGACTTAAAGATCTAAAATTCATTGCAGATACACAATATTACAATTTCTCTCAAACATTGTTCACAAATCAGTCTAAATGTGTGACAGTGAGCACTTCTGCTTTGCTGAGATAATCCATCCCACCTCACAGGTGTGCCACATCAAGATGCTGATCTAACATCATGAGTAGTGCACAGGTGTACCTTATACTGCCCACAATAAAAGGCCACCCTGAGTCTTTGAAAATCTTTGCTTAGTAAAAGTTTATGAATGGTATGCACAAGTCTGCTTACTACACTGAATAAAAATATAAACGCAACAATTTTGTTTTTACCCCCATTTTCATGAGCTAAACTCAAACATCTGAAAATGTGTCTACTTACACAAAATTGTGCACATTTCAGGGTGGCCTTTTACTGTAGGCAGTCTAAGGCACACATGTACATTATTCATGCTGTCTAATCAGCCCCTTGATATGGCACATCTGTGAGGTGGGATGGATTATCTTGGTAAAAGAAAAGTGCTCACTAGCACGCTTAGATTTCAGAGAGTGGTCTGCTTTCTGCTTCTTGTCTTGCTGCTCTTGTGTGTCTTTGGCTTGTTTCTTTCTCACAGTCATTTCTATATTCTAATGTTCTTGTGTTTAGTTGACGTCCGGTTTCTCCAATGTATGTTTTATTGCAGAGTTTGCATGGGATTTCATAAATGACTCCACACATACAGTATGTCCTGCTGATATGTTGTCCTTTGGGTGTACTTGTCTGCAAGCACAATAAAGAAATCAGTCGTAACAGACCACTGCACAAGGGAAAACCATGTAATGGCCAAGGACAACACAAGGATCATACCCACCGAACAACAAAAATATAAAAGATCGATTAAAAAAGTCATAGAAATATGGAGACATGTATGCAGAACCATGAACAGAGCCAAGGGGTCTACACATGGAGCTGTGTCATCTGTGAGAAGAGCCCGCATAAACGGAGAAGAAAGTGATGCCATCATTAGCGGCTAGTTCTAAAGAAGATTGCAAGAGCAATCAACATTGTAAGTAAGGTAGAAAAAAATAAATTTAAACTTTCCTGTGTTTAAAAAAAGAACTTGAAAAAGTGTTGCATTTATATTTTTGTTCAGCATAGCAAAATCTAGTGGTGGTTTATAATCCTATTCACCTATTATATAAGACAAAAATGTGTTACTATTTTTGTAAAAAAAAAACTTCATTTTTCCATTTTAAACAGTTTTTTATGTTTATCATTATCATTAGTTGTAGCAGTAGTAGTAGTAGCAGTAGTAGTAGTATTGTTTTGTAGATTTTTAGTTAAAACTTTTAAGGTTTTTGTGAGTGATTCATTACCTACAGTCTGAAGAGCTGCAAATGGATGGATGGAGTTCATGAACTATTTTCTAACATAGACACCCTCATGGATCCCTTTACTTTCATTGATATACTCCTTTCTTTTGAAGCTGAGTTTTATGTATTCATGTGTACTTGTACAAACAGTCTCCTGATACTGACTCAGACTGTCTAATATTTGCCCTTTATTCTTTTTTATGTTTTTAGTTATTCTACTATTCCCTCTTATTAGTTGTGTTTCCTTTTATATATGCAAATGTAAATGTTTTCTTGTTGCACATCCTCCGAAGCTTCTCGGTCGTGTTTGTAAATGAGAACATTTTTCCTGGTATGACAAAGACATAAAAAATGTGTATTTTTCCATTTCCTTTATTTTTTCCATCCCTTCCTTCTCTCCTTTCTATACATGTCTCGCTAAAATAAACATGTTAATATAAAGTTTTCAGCAGCACCAGTTTTATAGCCTTTTCTACCTCAGTTTAGTAAAAAAAACATAAATCATAAATCAACCTGCCTTAAGATAGATTCTGCATATGTGTGTGTGTGTGTGTGTGTGTGTGTGTGTGTGTGTGTGTGTGTGTGTGTGTGTGTGTGTGTGTGTGTGTGTGTGTGTGTGTGTGTGTGTGTGTGCGTGTGTGTGCGCGCGTGTGTGTGCGTGTGCGTGTGTGTACGTGTGTGTGCGCGCGTGTGTGTGCGTGTGCGTTTGTGTGTGTGTGTGTGTGCGTGTGCGTGTGCGTGTGTGTGTGTGTGTGTGTGTGTGTGTGTGTGTGTGTGTGTGTGTGCCTGTGCGTGTGCGCGTGTGCGTGTGCGTGTGTGTGTGTGTGTGTGTGTGTGTGTGTGTGTACTTGTCTTTCAATGATTAAGTGGACACATTTTGACTTTAACCTGTAGCATGTGGACATTTTTACATCGTGGGGACAATTGGCTGGTCCACATTATGTTAAGCACCCTAAAGCCTGGTTTTAGAGGTACGGTGTGAGTTAGTAGCTGTTAATTTAGGTTAGGGTTAGGAATACCATTGGTTAAGGTTAGGATTAGGGTACGGGTTAGGCATAACAGAGTCACTAAAATGAATGGAAGTCGACGGAGGTCCACACAAGCATGTGTGTGTGTGTGTGTGTGTGTGTGTGTGTGTGTGTGTGTGTGTGTGTGTGTGGAGAAGGTTGGGGCTTGTCCCACTGTCCCCCTGTGAAAAATTACACCCATGGATGACAGGTTTGAATTGAAACTTTTTTTTTTTTGTAAATTTACAAACAAGCATGCACTTTGTCAATGTTAAGTCCAAAACCTAAAATCAAAAGGAGCAGTTGACTTGCTGTTTTAATTCAAACTTGACTAATCTGACTGCAACAGGGGAGTTTAGTGAACTTTTTGCTCTTTTCTACACTCCCAGGAATTCTATCCCTACTGTGACTTTTTGGGTGAGTTCTCCAAATACAGAGCAGCTGGGAAGGCGATGGCAGGAAGATGTAATCGATTTCTGCCAGGCAAAAGCAAAAAGGAAGAGCGAGAGCCGCTGGTGTCTCAGTGTAAATCACTAACTCTCTCCCTGGAGCAGCTCTTACACAAACAGCTCTGTCAGATTAAGATGAGCTGATGGAACTTGTCATCTGGAGGATTTCTTTGTTTTCTGCCTGAATAATAAAATGTGCGGTTTGGAACGAAGGCGCGCGCGTAAATCATTCATATTTTTCCGGAACTCTTTCTTATTTTATTTATTTATTTTTTTAGGTCAGAATATTTTAGGTTTGGGGGGGGGGGGGGGGGGGCTGTCGCGGTGTGATGCTCCGGTGAGCTGATTCTTTGTGCATGAAATGACTTGACATCCTCCAGACCACCGAGCGAGTGCGTGCACGTCCACACGCCGAGCGAGAGAAAGAGACAGAGACACACAGAGAGAGAGAAGAGAGAGAGAGAGAGAGAGAGAGAGAGAGAGAGAGAGAGAGAGAGAGAGAGAGAGAGAGAGAGAGAGAGAGAGAGAGAGAGAGAGGAGGCGAGATATAAAGAGAGAGAATAAGGAACTTTGTTTGCAGGCATCCGTGTCTCCTCCGGCTCCGCGCGCTGAAAGAAAAGCATTTGGCAGTTATGGTTGATCAGCGTTTCTTTCATCCTCTCCTGTGCATTAGTGGCGACGGATGGCGCAGAGAAGATCCTGGTTTTTCTAGGATATCTTTAAATCCTATTTTGAAGGATTAAAAAATATACAATACAAAAGGATGCCGAAACACTAAAGACGCGCATCTCCATCAATGTGTGTGAGGTATGTATTACCACGATTCTAATTATTCAGGCTGTTTTATCCCTTTTGATGACTGTTTAGGAGAATTTATGCTATAATCTATAGTATGTCTTTAAATTTATTTTTCACACCTTAAATCCTCATTAGGCATTTTTATTTTGAAGAGGAAGCCTTTTGCTGCTTTTAGTTTTTTTATATTTGCTTAAATAAGTTGTGTCATATCTGCAGCCACACAGGCTGAAGTTGTCTAGCTTTGACACGTGAGCTCTTTGTGGGGAGGGAAGTTGCTGTCACTGCACCCTGTCCGATTTACATCACAATGTGTGTCTTTTATTCTAGATGACATTGAGGATACCTTAGCAGGACCGCGAGCTCGGCCATCATTTGCAGGAAAATGCAGCTTTGGATTCCGTATGTTTTGCTAAGTGCAGCTACCGTGGGCACTGTTGAGATGTTTGGCAATTATGGTGAAATATGTCAAGGACTGTGTGCATGTGAGGAGAGAGAAGGGATACTCACAGTGAGCTGTGAAAACAGAGGGATTGCAGCGCTCACAGCCGTTCCCCCAGTGCTCTTCTCCCAGTATCATCTGCTCCTTAGTGGGAATCTTTTGAAAAAGCTGTCTGCCCATGATTTTGTTGAGTACAAAGGACTTACAATCTTACATCTGGGGAATAATGAGATATCCGAAGTTCAAGCAGGAGCTTTTAATGGACTGCAGGGATTAAAACGATTACATCTCAACAATAACAAAATTGATGCCTTGAAGGACGAGTTTTTCTTGGGTCTCGTAAGTTTGGAATATTTACAAATCGATTACAACTACATCACTCATGTGGAGCCAAATGCCTTCAGCAGACTGCGGCATCTGGAGGTCTTGATTCTGAATGACAATTTGATTTCAAGTTTGCCTGTAAACATTTTTCAGAATGTCCCATTGACTCATCTGGACCTGCGGGGGAATCAGCTGAAAGTGCTCCCCTACACGGGTCTGCTGGAGCACATGAACAGTGTGGTGGAGTTACAGCTGGAGGAGAATCCCTGGAACTGCTCTTGTGAGCTGATTGCTCTTAAAACCTGGCTCGAAAGCATATCATACACGGCCTTGGTGGGTGATGTTGTTTGTGAGTTCCCCTTTCGGCTTCATGGGAGAGACCTCGATGAGGTTTCCAAACAAGAGTTGTGCCCGAGGAGAGCCATCGCTGAATATGAGATGCCGCCTCCGCCACGTTTGGGCACTGATGCATACCATAGGACCACGCCAGCTCTAGTTGCAGCCTCGTTCACCTCGTCTGGAATTGCAAGATCCTCATCGAGACCCACCAAGGGACCTCGGCAGTCAGCCAAATTAAAATCAAGACCCACCACCCGAGTCCCGTCAAACAAGCCACAGAATTTTGGTCAGATTGTTTCGTATCAGACCAAATCGCCTGTGCCTTTAGACTGCCCGACTGCATGCACTTGCAATCTGCAAATTTCAGACCTTGGTCTGAATGTGAACTGCCAGGAGAGAAAGATTGAACAAATCTCTGATTTAAATCCAAAACCTTACAATCCCAAAAAGATGTATCTGACTGGAAACTACATCCCTGTGGTGCATCGATCAGATTTTACTGAAGCAACTGGACTAGATTTGCTTCATCTTGGTAACAATCGAATATCCCGCGTGGCTGACAGGGCCTTTGGCGATTTGATACACCTAAGGAGACTGTATCTCAATGGAAATCTGATCGATCATCTTACAGTTGATATGTTTTATGGGTTAGAAAGCCTACAGTTTTTATATTTAGAGTACAACGTCATTAAAGAAGTAATTGCTGACACCTTTCAGCACGTACCCAAACTTCAGCTTCTTTTTTTGAACAATAACCTCTTGAAAACATTACCAGAGGGTACATTCAGTGGCCTGACATTGGCCAGACTTAATCTCCGTAACAATCACCTGCGATATCTGCCAGTTAGAGGTGTGCTGGACCAACTTGCAGCACTGGTACAAGTGGATTTGTATGAGAATCCCTGGGATTGCTCATGTTCTATACTGGACTTGAAGATGTGGTTAGAGCAGCTCAGCACAGGCACAGTTGTGAATAATGTCATCTGTGGCTCCCCCAAGAAGTTGGCGGGGGAAGACATGAGATACATTAAGACAACTAATTTCTGCCCTAATAACTCTGATGTGCTTGCATCCATGATTCCACCTTCAGAGGAATCTTTTCCAGGCAGCACCATCACTATAGAAACGTCTTTAGACTCTGACACTCAGTACAGCACCATTCCTTTATCCGTGATGATTCTCGCCCTTCTCCTCATGTTCATCCTCTCTGTGTTTGTGGCTGCCGGGTTGTTTGTGGCAGTGAAAAAGAGACGCCAGAAGAGTCAAAACGAGCAGAACAACTCAATGAATGCTTGCATTAGCTCTCTCAACATGGAATACGGCCTTTACAAAAAGGGATCCATTCCCAAAGTCAGAACATCTGCTGGACATGTGTATGAGTACATCCCACCTCCAAGCGAATCCACATGCAGAACTGCGGCACATACTCCTATGGACAGCAAATCTGTGGACGGATTCAGGGACTTTGACGAGCTGAGTGGTGCTTTTCTGGCCAACTCAGACGAAGAGGCCGCCAGTAACGTGTTAAGCTCTGAATACAGCACCACCACTCCAGAACCTCTCAACAAGCCCTCACCCGCTTACCAAGATGATCAGCACTTCTACAGAGACGTACTTGAGCCGGACAAGAACAGACGCTTCAGCAACACATTACCCTGCAGGCACGGAGCCCATTCATCAAATCAGTATACCTCAGACTTTGATGCAAGGCATCAATACGTGCAACCAGATAGAATACAGCAAACAATTCTATATTGTGCAGCACCCAGTTCTGTTTACGTGGAGCCAAACCGGAGCGAGTACTGGGAATTAAAAGCAAAGCTCCACATCGACCCTGATTACCTCGAGGTTCTCGAAAAACGAACTACATTCACTCAGTTCTGAGAGACTTGTCCTCCAGATGGTCGAAGCGAATGCATTTGTGTGATTTATTCGTTTTCGTTATTAATCACAAACTGTTATGCATTTCTGGGAATTATGGTTTGCAGAGTGACTGATCCAGAAGGGAGGGGGGGTATTACTCACTGTAAAGCATCACTTAACACTGTTTTGCTGTGTGGTTTGACAGTTTGGTTTCAATGTGCAAATGTGAACCAGAAACCACAGATTCTGGGCTCCAGTGACTCATCCTATCAGCAAATCTACCCTGAAGCTGTACCATTGACATTAATGTGAGACTGAGCTTTAACTTTTAAATTAGCTACATATTATGAGTGTTAATGAACCACAGACGATATCATCCTGCCCCCAAATAACCCCATTTTATCTGACAGAGATGCAAGTATGCTCTCCAGTTCTGTTTTTCGATTTCCATTCTCTATACCTGCAACCATTTTTGAGATTATTTATCTCTAACTGTGAAGTTAACCTGCATTTAGTTGAGAAAATTACCCAGCTTCAAAGTCTGGATGCATTAACAACTCTGGGATAATAAAACCATAAATCACAGATAATAAGTAAAGTAAATGTCTGTTTTTGTTGAGAGAAAATTCTTGTAATGGACAAAATCACACAAACAAGGCTACAGAAGCGTAAGAGCAATAGCTCAGATTTTTGCAGTGAGTTTATATGAAATAGTTACAAACAAATGACCTCTTATCATTAATAGTTAGCTCTCCGTTTCACAACAATTGAAGCTAAATTTGATTCATAAGGCTTAAACTACTCTTTTTGTGCATTACATTGTTATTCAAGCAGACCCTCACTCTTTAGTAGGAGTCTATCTCCAGCAGGCATCGGGGTGAGAGGCACAGTACTCCTTGGACACGTATGTTAAAGGGCCACATATAAACAAACAAGACACACAACCATCCACACACTCACACACACATTTAAAGTGGTACTTCACTGAGAAATAATTTTAATTAATCTTTCTGATTATAATCAGGGCTGCGCAGTGGTGCAGTGGTTAGAGCTGTTGCCTTGCAGCAAGAAGGTCCTGGGTTCGATTCCTGGCCTGGGATCTTTCTGCATGGAGTTTGCATGTTCTCCCTGTGCATGCGTGGGTTCTCTCCGGGTACTCCGGCTTCCTCCCACAGTCCAAAAACATGACTGTTAGGTTAATTGGTCTGTCTAAACTGTCCTTAGGTGTGTGTGTGTGTGTGTGTGTGTGTGTGTGTGTGTGTGTGTGTGTGTGTGTGTGTGTGTGTGTGTGTGTGTGTGTGTGTGCGTGACTGTTTGTCCTGTGTGTCTCTGTGTTGCCCTGCGATGGACTGGCTCTCTGTCCAGGGTGTACCCCACCTGATTGCCCGTTGACCGCTGGAGATAGGCACATGAAAATAGTCTCCTATGCCTACCCCCTGCTTTAGGGTTAGGGTCACTCTTCTCTAGGATCTGAAAAGCGTGATAGAGCTACGTCACACTGTCACTGAACAATCATGGACTCACCCATCTTGGCTCGTGATGAGGAGGGTTATTGTTGTTTTAGCATACAGAGAACAGCAAAGAACGTGTCAACTTATAGAAGCTAACCATTAGCATTAGCAACTCCACCACATGGCAGAACTCCTCCAGGATTGTGTTATTTATAGAGATAAAACATCAACGTTACAGAGCAAACTGAATCTGTGGTAGAATCACATTGATGTTAGCCAATCAGAGGCGAGATGTCCAAATATCAGGAAATCAAACTCGAAATCCTGCCGTGTTCGGCTCAGCTCTGACCTGGTTCATTTCTAGTTCCGGAAACAGGCGCGCTGGAGCTCCAACCCAACTTACTTGACATTTTACTAGAGACCACTGCAAATGTATAAAAATTTTAGTAAAGTACCACTTTAAGGAAAATTTAAGGTTACCCTGACCTGCATATCTTTGTTTTATATGAGGAAACTGGAGAAAACTCACGCAGGAAAAACATGCAAACTTCATGCAGAAAGGCTGCAGCTGGAATCTGAACCTGTAACTTCCTAGCTTTGCAGGCTGAACCAGAACCCATGGCTTCATAGCAACTTTCTGAAGCAAAACAGACATTTCTGTGTAAATAACCCTCTACGGCAAATGTCATTGCAATGTAAATATTTATAAAAGTACTTGAATTAATTCCTATAACATCTGTGATCTGAGTTTTTAGGATGGCAGAAAGACTCAGTGGCGAAGCTGTTATCTTTTTAATCTAAAAATATCAGTTTAGCCAAATACAAATGAACAAAGCCCTCGTCAGAACATCTGAACTATCCCTTTTATGCGATTTTTTCTAGAAAACCAGCAGTGATACATCTAAACCTCCTCATATTATCCTCATCACCAACCAGCTTATTCGAATGATGTTAACTCTTGTAGGGAAAAAAAATCTAAGCAACGCAAAAATGTTGTTACCAAAAGATTTTTATTGGAAGAATAACACCACTTTAATGTGAATTATATAAACATGATTTAGTTTTCCAGTTTGTTCATGTTTCAAAACCAAAGCGGTCTTTAAAAAACAGGAATATGCAATCTTTGACTCCCGCAGGGGCTCAACAAAACACAACCCTTTAGGTTATTTTGATTTTTATACAACCTGTGTTCCTTCTGATATATATACGGGTGACATTTACAGCTGAATTTCCATTGCAACACATCTGAGATGTGATAAAAGTTTCAGTATCACAAGATCTTACCAAAGCGTGTTATAGACCTGCCAACTGAACGCAGGATGTCAGTGTCAAGGTTTGCAGTGATGGAAGTGTAGGAACCGTTCAATTTTTGACCACATTTACTAGAGAGGTCAAAAGTTTTACCATAAATGTTATGTACTAAATCAAAAGATGTTTTCTTGTTCTTGTTTCACACACAATAAGTTTAAATATGGGGCAAAAGCAAAATGCTATCAAAATATAACAGATGTGTGATGGTTTTCTCCATTGCACCAAAGCCCAGGCCTCCGTGCAGAAGTCCTGTTTTATTCATCCTCTCATCCTCCAAATATAAACTGGAACAGAGTTTTCTTTTTGCTGTCCCTTGCACCCATTTCAACCCTCGTTGGTTGATGTTTTGATGATGTCCTTTATGCTAAGAAATGGCCCAGTCAAAAACATTTTTAAACCAACCACAATATTATCCTAGACTTCACCAAATAACCCATCTGCTGAAACCTAACAAAGAACATTAAAAGGACATGTGCAAAACTTGCCTTTTGCATCATTTTGTGTTTCCATAAAGGTCTCTACTGCTTCTATAAACACTCCAAATGTGAAAAAAAAATATCCAATTGTTTTCTGGCAGTGTTTGGTTTGAGGAATAATGTGCATAAAACAAGCTGTTTCAAAAAGTCCTCATTTGTTATGTCACAAATAGGGAGATTAGCATAGAACCACCTCTCACCTGGAGGGGATCAGCCGCAGAAGACGCAGCAGCAACTTTCCTATAAGCCCTTCCCAGATGTCAGAGATTCTCAGCTTATAGCAGCCACTCAGAGGATGGGTGGGCGTGGCCAGCAACAGCTTGTTTTCTTAAAGTGACAGGGCTGTAAAACGGCTCATTCTTCAAGGTACAAAAACTGTGCTTTAGGTGAAACTTTGAGAGGAATTCCTGAAAGAAGTTGATGAACATGTTTTAAATTGGCCATAGAATCTTTACAACTTAAGAAAAATCATAATGTGTCTCCTTTAATTTTAAAACTGAATCAGGGTATCACGTATTTTGGAAATTGCTTTTCTGAATTTCCCTCTGGGATTAATAAAGTATTTGAATTGAATTGAATTGAATTAAAATCTGTAACTTTAATTGTGCCAGGCTATTTTACATTCGTTCAGCCAATCAAATCACATGAGTTATTATATTAGTGAAAAATTTGTGTTTTGCTGTTTTAAAACAATTTTAAGTCAGATTGTCTGAAGCAAATAAAAAAGATGACTTGTGCCCATCAGCGGTATAATCACACTTTGGTTGATTTCTACGCACATTCAAGTTTTAATTTGTACTTCTCATGTTCAGAAATGGCAAAAATGGCACTGATGTGTTATTTACAGGCCCTTTTGTTCCATGCTATAGTTCATATTTACCTTTGGTGTAAATTCAGCTAATTGTTTTCCTACACATTTTTGCCCTATTGTGTTTTCCCTAATCTAAAAATATGCACTATTGACTGCTGGTCAACAATGATGTCACCTTCTAAAATGCACTAAATTGTAACATGCATATAGCCATAGTATTGGTTCAATAAATCCATAAGGAGGGGTTAGATGTGTTAAAAATCCTGCACTTTGCATCAATACAGGTCATACTCAGACAATCTGTACAAAATGCTCACTGCTGTTCTCTAACTGATGATAGTCAATAAAACCATCCAGTCTTATACCAAAAGTGAATGAAACATGACATTTAAGATACACTTTTTAAAGAAATTGGTTTTCTTTCTTTTTTTTTTATACAAACTTTCTATATTTGTAAACCTGGGTGGTTTTCGGGGAATATTTTGGGTTTAAAAAATGCACAATGTATTAATAATCCTGTTTTCTTTTGAGTTTGAATCATAGGAAATCAGGAAGTTTGACTGCAATTAGCAGTACCCCAAAGTGCATGGAGCAACATATAAAATATCAGAATGGGTCAAATTGGAGTGAAAATACCAACAAACAACTGCAGTTAGCCTTCTTTGAATGAGACCGGTCTTTGCTAATGCAGTCAAACCGTTTTCTGCGGTAAAGCCTGTAAATTTGCTAAAGTTTTTATTTTCATTGAGCCTCATGCTCACGTCCTCTGGCTGTTTCTGTGTATGAGAAAGTGAGACATAAAGAGTAAATCACAAACAAGTTGAGAAAAAATTGTGCCATTTTGTGGTCAATCTGCAACAAAAACTATTGCACATTTGTCACAATACATGTGTCTTTTGGCCATGTGCCTCTAGTGACCTGACTGTAAATGAAATTTCTGGCAGAAATGTCCAATTAAACATAATTTCAGGTAAATGTGAGCATTTTATTTAAATTACATAGGACTGATTCCACTTTCGGAACTTCCATGTATTTTTAACGGATTTTTAATAGGACCGGCTTGGCAGGGGCCATTTTCCTGGCCGTTTCAGGAACCAACAGGTTACACTGGGGTATGTACTTGGAAAGACCCGGCGGAGTTGCTGGGGGTCTTGTGGTTAGCTCATGCTAATTGGCTGTAACCCAGTGAAAAAAGACATTGGCGGACGTGGCCAAATAACCATGGTTTGTAAAACTGAAATAGTTGTTGTTGAAGTGTAATGGAAAGAAATAAAAAAGGTAGAGTTTCTTAAAAATTGCTGTTTCCAAACTTTGAAAATGTGTCAGAAATCCGTCCACAACGCCATAATACACGGTGATTTGTGATCTGCTACAGAACATAGTAAAAATGGTGCTTCTTCTGGTTATTGAACGCTGTTTTTTAATCACACAGCCACTCACCCGTCCCCTGAATGGATTAAATAATAGCTAATTTTAATAGAATAAAACTTTTGATGTTAATGATGTCTGTGGACGCCCTTTGGTCCTGATCAGTGACATCATTCATTGCAAAATGGTTGTGATATGCTGAAGTCTTAGCAAAATGCTGAAAGGGCCAAGACACAACATCTGAGAGGACTGAACCAACATGCGATCTCACCCTGGAACACCGGTGGAAACACGACTTGTGTCTTCAGCTGGTCGCTGACAGCGGCCCAGTGAGATTCAGAATTAAATCTGTCAAAAGATGAGCGTCAAGAACAACACTGTTCTCTTTACGCAGCATCATGCACCAAATCTGTCATTTTAGCTCAGCCATAAAGGACATGTGTCTGGACCTTGTCTGCATGTCAACAAGTTTTTATACTACAGCATTAGTCATGTGCGCTTAACCAGCAATGAGGTCTTGTTGCTTCTCCTGTTCGGAGTAAATTTGTGATGAATCGACTTGTTTCTGCCATTTGAAAATGCATCGGAGCAAATGAAACCTTCACAGTGATGCATGACTTGCACCTGCACATCTGAGTTAGTGGAGAAAACTTTTACAAACATGATGCACACACAAGGTTCCTGATTGTATCAGTTTTCAAATGCATATTTTATTAAATATGCTGTAACTTTTGTATTTCCAAGCTGCAATATGTCATTACTAAAAATATACATACTTGTATATTTTTTTCTTGAGCTTGCTTTGAATTTTTTTTTGTATATATCTGGAAATAATTTTTCATGTGTTCTTTTGTTAGTATTAACCAAATATTAATGTATTCATTTTATCACAGCTAAATCTGCAAAAAATCTAAAAATAAGAAGAAAGGTATTTCAACATTCGAAGAACAAGGAGGTGAATCCCTATGTTCTTGTTATTCCAGCTCCCATGTTTGTTTGCCTTGCTCATTTTTTATTTATTTTTCTGTGTCAGCCTCTGATTTGTAAATAGAACAAACACTTCATCAGCATTTCCATGCAAACTTGCACCGTCTTTGAAAAGCAAAAACTTGGTCTCGTATTGAAAAAAAAAATACAGAAAAGAAGACAATAGCCCTACACAGCCGGGAATATGTGGGACAAATATATCTACAGTGTGTTTTCTTTAGTTGTTAACTAATGAATAAAAGATATGCATTCATTTGATTCGCTGTATTTGTCTTCCTTCACTCTGCAAATCGTGTTGTGTGCAAAATGTCACGGTGCAGAAACAGGACAGAATTTAATTGTTGAACAAGGCCCACTGGCATCTTTTTGGACTATTTATAAAACTTATCCATACTGAAATATTCAAGATGATCATATTTCTTTCAGCCAGACAGATAGTGCTAATGAGGAAAGCCTTGGATACATGTTAGTAAGTAATTATGCTAATCAAGACACTGTAATTATGCTTGAGGTCAAATTTTATGGGTATTTATTCTGAACTGAGGTTTTTCCACATTTTTTGATGCAAATCTAAATTAAAGTGTGATGCCTTCACTGCTGTCTGACCTTGCTGTGGCTGTGCAGTATGAAGACATCTGCTTGCGTTTGCTTGTAGACATTTACAGAAAACCTTTTTTGTGCAGAAAAAGCTTTTTGGAAGCCTGGTATCCATGGAAACATCCAATTACCACACACACATATAAAAATAACAATCTGGCTTGAGAGGTACAATGTCAGCAGAGTTTGCAAACATTTGTTGCTCGTAAATTTGCAAAACCTTCGTTGTATTCCACTCATGCCTGAACATTCAGACAAAAACAGAGGGGATGATCTGTTCCTCATCATCGCCTTCATCAGGACCGCTGTCCACCTTTCATTCCATCCGTTTTTCAGGTCGACGGTGTAGCATTGCTTAGCTGCTTGAGGACCCCCCCAGTTCTGTCTGGGAGGGAGAGTGAGGGAGAGAGAGAGAGGAAATTAGGGCAGATCTGCATTATGTAAGCTTGAAGAGATGTGTCAGGCTGTGTGAAGACGGCATATGACTGTAAGCATTCGGCAAAGGGAAAAACACCATCTTCTGCTGGCAGAGCAGCACTTTGGAAAAGATTCGAACCTCCTTGATGTTCCTGTTGCTGTGAAAGAGAAGAGAATAGCATCTATAACAAAAACATGCAGTTTTCTGGTTGTTAGACTCAGATCGTGTGTGTGTGTGTGTGTGTCTGTGTCCCGGAAGATTTTTGAGTCTTCTGTTTCTCTTGGAAGTAGAGCTGCATTTCTCTCCCTCTCACTTCCTCTGTGTGTGTGTGTGTGTGTGTGTGTGTGTGTGTGTGTGTGTGTGTGTGTGTGTGTGTGTGTGTGTGTGTGTGTGTGTGTGTGTGTGTGTGCGTGCGTGCATGCGTGTGTGCGTGCGTGTGTGTGTGTGTGCGTGTGTGCGCGCGCGCGTGTGTGTGTGTGTGTGTGTGTGTGTGTGTGTGTGTGTGTGTGTGTGTGTGTGTGTGTGTGTGTGTGTGTGTGTGTGTGTGTCTTGGTGCATAAATTATTGACTCAGAGTGTATTCATGCTTGCCTCAAGGTCTTCACCAAGCATCATGGCAATACCTTCATCCTATCTGTTTGTCTTTTAACATTTTTTTGTTTGTTTGGTTTTCTAAAAGCAAATCTCACCCCCAAGATCAAAGGTCTACTCTAGAAATCAGATGCACTGATCTGTGTCCAGTTTAAATAATCCATTGTATTAAACTGATTCAAGAGACAATCACACTCTTACGAGACAAGTCGGTGTTTACAAATCAAGAAATGGGGATTTAAATGTTCGCTTTTTTCTGTTATTTTTGTGCCAAGTCGTTTTCAAAGAAATGAAAACAGTAAATGCGACACTCACTAATATTTATGAGGGTTGATCCGGGATTACGTCTGCCAACCTGAGAAAAATGACAAAATCCTCCCTCATCCTCCCGTTTACGGCGCTCCCATTGAACACCAGAATGATATTTCACATCAAGAAAGAGAGAAAAGCTTAAGCGAAAGCAGAATATTGTGAATTGATGTTCATAAGGAGCTTTCACAGCTCTCGAGTGCTCTGTGTAACAATGTCTGCTGGCTGTTTGCATAATATTTTCTCAGATTTGCTGCCATTACCAAGACAAATTAATACTCCATTTAAAAATGTTCCTTTCTGTTTTTTTCCTACGCCCTGTAGAGTTTCTCATGTTGCATTAACCTCAACCTCCGCCCAATAACCACTCTCTTTTCCTTTTTTATCAGCGCCTTTTCCTCGTGGCTCTTCATCACATCAAGGGCATGTCCTCCTCCGTGTCTTGGCCTGAAGTGTCACTGGAGCTGCAGCAGCAGAAAGGCTTGCTTGTTGGCCTGTAATTCATAGAGACAACAAACAGATCAGCTGGGCAATTTATAGCATTTGTTAATAAGTCATAAAACATTTATCAAAAGGGATAAATCTTCCCACTTGTTTCGCCTCAAGGTGGACGTATTTAGGAATGCAGCGCACCAGCGTGAGTAGTGTCTCCTGCTGATTTGAGAAAGATGTGACCTGAAAGGGCCCTGTGTTTGTTTCCTCGTTCAGCTGAAAGAGAGGGAGGAGAAACACAAACATCCCATGATGGAGAAGCAGCCGCGCTCAAACGTTAATGTGAAGATCAGAGATGGTTTAAAGGGCAAAAACATTACACAGCTCTGCAATAGTCATGTGCTTTTTTTCTGCAGCTAAAACAATTCATTTTGGCATATTTACACCTTTTTCCTTCATGGTTTGCAACTTCATAATTTCACGCCCCGTGATAAATTTGACTTGGCTGTGAGTGGCTGGATAAAGTGCTGTGATGTGTGAGTGGACTTCTGCAGATCGCACTGTGGCAGCCTGAATTTAAATTCAGCATCTGCTCGACTGCTACACGTTTCCTCCCTCCAGAAACCATCACCCCTAAAAAAAAAAAAGAAGAAAGAAACGGACATCTGAAGGAAAGTGCACCGCCGGTCTGCATGTATTCAAATGTGTAGCATATTTTCAAACCTTTTCATATTTTTAAATAATTTTTCTTGAGCCAGTAAGTGCTAAAATAAACCTTTACAGGGTTAATGAAAGGCCATCCAGCCCCTATCGCCCCCTGTGGTCAGAATATTTCACTTGCAAGACTGGTGGGCCCCTCTGTCGGGCCCCCTGATTGAGATGGCATACCTGGCGCATACCTGGCGCTGCAGTCTTGTCGTTTCCTGCATGTTTTAGACACTAAGGATGGCTGGAAGACATTTCAGCTTTTAGATTAAGGTGTTAAAGACACAGCGAGAAGATTAGTTTTGCTTTCGGTTCTACAAACGGACACTAGAGGGTGCTAAAACCTAGCCAAAACTGCCTAGTTCCCCTTTAAAATCGGGGTTATAAGAACCTGTCAAATCCAAGTCACATTGTCATTGTAGCATTCATCTTGGCTCTCATTGGAAGTCTGTCGTTGATTTAGCATCAAGGAGAGAGCAGAGGGCGTCTCTGCTATAGAGGCTAACCGTTAGCTTTCGCAACTCCACCACACAGCAGAACTCCTTCAGGCTTGTGTTATTTGTGCAGCTAAAACAGCAAAGTTACAGAGCAAACAGAAGCAGTGGTAGAGTGGTGTTGCTGTTAGCCTATCAGAGTTGAGGTGTCCAGATAGCAGGAAATAAGACTCCAAATCGTGCCGCTCACTATTCCGGCTATAACTTACAGTTCAAGAAACAGGAGCGCCAGAATATTTTAGACGTATTTATCCATTAGGAAAGTCGCCAATTTTGCAGTAGGTCTTCAAAAACGTGTGCACGCTCTGTGATTGATACCTATTCATATTGGTTAATTGTGGGATGGGGGTGGGCTTAGAAAAAACAATGTATGTTGCCTATCATATCACAGTATAGGGTAAGACTCACTTTTATGGATTTCTAAAAAAATCACATAATTTCTGAAAGAGGGATAACTGCAGATTGCTGCTTTAAAAGACTTGCATGACATTAATGTTAACGACCAATGGGTTAACATTTAAACATTTAAAATAAGCATTTAATCCATAATGAGAAACTTAATGTAGTTCGTTTAGTGGAACGTTTTGCATAGCATTAATGGTCTGTGAAAGCAATTATGGCTAAATATGCATAATTACTGTAACAAGTCTAAGGGTAGACTGGTGAAGCTTTTTAAGAAATAATGGTGAATGAATAATGAATTTGTTTCAGAAGAACATGTCAGAATGATGCATCTATTTTTGTAGACAAACAGACAGATTCAGCTGATAGATCTATCATCTATCTATCTATCTATCTATCATCTATCTATCTATCTATCTATCATCTATCTATCATCTATCTATCATCTATCTATCTATCTATCTATCTATCTATCTATCTATCTATCTATCTATCTATCTATCTATCTATCTATATATCTATCTATCTATCTATCATCTATCTATCTATCAATCAATCAATCTATCAATCAATCTATCAATCAATCAATCTATCAATCAATCTATCATCTATCTATCTATCTATCTATCTATCTATCTATCTATCTATCTATCTATCTATCTATCTATCTATCTATCTATCTATCTATCTATCTATCTATCTATCTATCTATCTATCTATCTATCTATCTATCTATCTATCTATCTATCTATCTATCTATCTATCTATCTATCTATGTTTATGTTTATGTTTATGTATTTAGCAGACGCTTTTGTCCAAAGCGACTTACAAGTGATAATCGGCATTTTGCCCTTGAGGCTAACAACAATAGTAACAACAACAAATTGACATCAGTCATGGAGAGGAGGGAACAAGGAGTGGACAGTAGAGAGGAGGGACGGGTGCAGACAAGGTGCTAGTTAAGAAGATGCTCTCTGAAGAGCAGGGTCTTCAGGAGTTTCTTGAAAATAGAAAAGGAAGCCGCAGTTTTGGTAGTGTTAGGAAGGTCATTCCACATTTGTGGAACGATGCATGAGAAAAGTCTGGATTGTCCTGAGCGTGGTGTAGGCACTGCTAGCCGACAATCCTGTGATGACCGGAGTGGCCGGGCCGAGACGTAAGCCTTTGCAAGAGGATTCAGGTAGATGGGAGCCGTACCGTCTCGGACTTTGTATGCTAGTGTTAGCAATTTGAATTTGATGCGTGCTGCTAGCTGTAGCCAGTGGAGCTCAATGAACAGAGGGGTGACGTGTGCTCTTTTAGGCTGATTGA